GCATGGTTATAACCACCAATATCTTTCAAGTTCTAGTGTTAATAGTTTCCAATTACAGTAAATTTTTTAATGACCATAAATAAAAGTTAAGGTCAAATTTTGTCTAATGTTGGTCTGTATTTGCCAAAGCCTTTTTTTTGGGCCATGGATACTCATATGTGGCTATCTTTAGAGTTAAAAATAAAAAAAGTTTTAAGATTCTAATATGTGATAGGAAAAATATTATTTCAAACACAACTACAAATGTTGTTTACAAAGAAGTTTTAGATAAATTTATCATTACAAAAAAACATTATAGGTGTTGTTAGTGTGGGTGTGGCCATTTTTTTATAAATAATCATCAAAAGAATTATAAAGTATACTATAAATAGCTTAAAATTATTTTATATTTTTATAAATAATATATTCTAATAAAATTATATTTAATTATTATCTCGTGTAGTGTATATTTTTTTTATTTTTTAGAAAAAGTATATCTTTTGTTTACTTTAGGCATTGAATATACTGTTATTTAATGATATTTCTGGTGCTAATTTTTCTTTTTATTCCTTAGTGTAACAAAAATATATATCCTATCTTAATTAGTTGTGTGATTAACAATTGTACCACCCCCAATTAACATGTTTACACCCTAAACATATCTACAATCACATTATCATATGTGAAAGCTTGGTTATTTTGAAATTCTTTTTCTATTTTTTTCTTGTCTTTCTTTCATAAACAGTAAATTTGTTGTATATTCTATCGGTATTATTAAATTAAAATAATTTATTAAGTAATTTTTTTAAATGTATGCTTTTTAAAATTTAATAAATCAACAAATAGTAAATTAAAAAAATTATTAATAATAGATAATTATTATATTAATAAAATTAAATTAGAAATATTTTTTTAAAATTAGAAAATATAAAATTAAAATTTAGATTACAAATTCTTATGTACTTTCTTATTTCTTAAAAATATTCTCATTTAAAGTACTTTACAAATAAATTTTATTTAAAAATGAAGATTCATATAAATGCACAGGTAAATTAGTCATTCTTATTATAATTATCTAAATAATAAAATTTTTAAAATATTGTAATTATTAACTATCTTCTACAAGTTAATATTTTAAATAACTAGTTTTACTACATTAAGATGGTATACTTATCTGACAAAATAAAAAATTTAAATAAGTTATTAGTTTAAAAAAATATCACAGATTTTAATTTTAATTCTTAAAAATATTATCAGTGAATTATTTAAATCTCTCTCTTTTTTTTTTAACAAAAAATGTTGTCCATTCTTAAAATTACTTCAATTTCTTTTCTATTTTGTGTTTCTTCAAAAATTAAAATGCTCTTTATTTTTAAAATTTATATGATTTTTTTTTTATTTTTACAGTAAATTACTCCAGCATCCTTTTTATTTTGTGCTTTTTACAAAAAAAAATTATATGTATTTTACAATTAAATTTTGTATATAAAAATTAAATTATTAAATGCTTGACTAATGAATTTTTTTAAAATTAGAGTATTACAAGAAAATAAATAAAAAATTAATTAAATTTATATATTTGAAATAATTAAAACACGTTAAAAAATATTTACGATTTGATAGGCGTTTTAAAATAGTTTTTAAAGAATATTTCTTCTAAATAATAAGAAATTTAAATTTTAATTACTTATAAGAAATAAAAGTAGTTAATTACTCTAAATATATTTTCATATATGTGATTTTAATTGTAAATCTTTTATAAAATATGGGAAATATTTTTTGTAATATTTAAAAATATTAGATGTTAAAACGTAAAAGAAAAAGGATGTTAAAGTAATTTACTCAAATTTTATTTGATTTTATTTAATTATTAAAAATTATAAAAAAAAGTCACATGAATTCAGTTTTGATGAGAAATTAAAACTATATCATTTTTATTAAGTATAAAAACTAAACAAGATAAATCTTTTATAAAATTTAGACTTATATTTTTGTCTTTATAAAATAGCATTCATGTAATAAGTTTTCAAATTTTTTTTTATTAAGATTTAGTTCATGAATTGTTTAAAAAATTAAAAGTTAGTCTCTGTCATTAACTTTTTTTAGGTGATACGTTAACATATCACCGTTACGTATGTTTTTAAACAATAAGTTTTACTGTTACGTTATTTAAATTTTTAATATTTTATTATTTAAAAAATATTTATAAATAAATTTATAAATATTTTATAAATATTTATAAAAAAATTTGAATAAAGTTGAAAACCTTTTACAGTCTCATCACTAAGGAAGCTTAACAACTTATTTAATAAAAATTTGCATAATCTCACATTCCTGTATGCTAAAATTGAACCTTTTTCTCAAAATTAGTTGGAAATCCAAAAATAAATATTAAAAAAATACACACTTTAATTTATGAGTATAATTAAGTCTAAAATTTAAAATAAAAAGTAAAATATTTTGGTAGCTAAAACAAATCATATAAGAACAAAAGTTTTATGAGAGTACCTATTTGTGACATTCTTGTGTGGTACTGTTTTAAGGGGAAGGTAGTACTGAGGTAGATTCGCACTTTGTACTACACTGGCAATTTGAATAGAGATGGAATTCAGTTGTCAAGTACAACCCATAATTGAGCTTTAAGGAATGAATTCCACTAAATTGCTTAAGCTTGTTTTTTCCTTTTTTATAGGTATCATCCTATCATTACACATATATGATCCCTTTTCTATTTTATATAACTTTAAGTAACCCTTTTTCAAAATTTTGCAACTCCAAAAAGTGTTATTAAATAGGTCCCTCAAAATAAGGACAATCAGATTTATGTGCAGCACCATGATTCGTGAATGCGTACAATATAAGCAAAGGTACCTTAACATGAAAGAAATCTGCTTCATAATGTATTTAAGTGAAGTTTTAAATTTATTGACTTCAAAAGATAACATGAACTTTAATGCCCTATTTTTCAAATTTTATGGGTTTCAATATAGCCAAGAAAAAAAAAACTTCGATTTAGTTTGGCTCCACACAATCTCAATATTTTAACATAAAAAGTAACAAAATTAACTTGGTATATGTCTTATTTAGCATGATATTTTGATTGGCTCATAATATAATCAATAAAAAAAGTTGAGTCCATTAACGTTACACTCATTCGTTATCCATTAGGCACACTGCATTATCGCTCAAAAAGTTGAACCAGAAAAATATTGCCAACGTATGGGTGTCACCCGTTTGAATAAATATGTTCATGTCACTTTCAGTTAATTTATTTCAAAGTTCCTTATAATTTTATTAATTTTTTTTCATAATTTAAAAATTTTAATGTTTAACCGTAACAATAATTAAGTGTGCTGTTGAGTTAATTTTGAAAAATTTTAACCGTATGGGTCTTACGAGTTTTATTTAATTTTAAATATAATATATATATATATATATATATATATATACTATAACTTATAAAATTTAACATAAGAAAAAATATTGCCATTGTTAATAATAAATATTATATTATATTAAATTAAATTAAAATTAAAAATAAATATAAAATATTTAAAAGTTATGTTATTATTCTATTAAAAATTGCATAATATAAAAAAATGAATTGATAAAATAAGAAAAAGAAATAACTCTTAAAAATGTTTAAATTTTTTTTAATCTAGATCACATGTATTGGACAGTGAAAGCAATTATATTGGGGATAAAAGAACTTTTCCTCGAGACTAGTTAGGTAGCAGTATTATTAGTGACAACTTTTTATTTGAGTATATAACAACTACGTTAGCTAAGACTTAATTTTAAAACCACAAGATAAAACTAGAATTATTATTTCTCAGTTGATTTACATGCTCCATAAATACCTAATTTTTTTAACTTTCATACTTATTTTGAAACGAAGAAATCCAATCAAATTTGAGTTTTTTTTTTGTTGAATCTATATTTTATCTACAATATGTACATTTAAAATTTTATATTAGTATTTTTTTTTTGCTACTTGACACCTTCTTAAATTAAAATAACTTTTTTTTGAAGAAAAATTTTAAAGTATATTACATGACTTTTAAAATTTAAATTTTATAAATAAAAAAATTAAATAATTTTATCATTAATTTAAAAAAGTATTGTATATTTTTTTAAATTGACGGTTATAATTATTTTAATATCTTTGATATTATAGGATTGTTATATAGTTTTAAATAAATTTCTAACACCACTATTTATTTATGTAAAATGAATGATAATAAATATTTTATGTGTGAAAGAAGATAAAATTTAATTTTGTTATGTTGGAGTTTATTTGTATTTATAGTTATGTTTAAACAAGTTCAAATTTTCAAATCCTTTATCATTTGCTAAATTATAAAGACTTGTTTAAGAATTTTGATAAATTATAAAGACGTACTTAATTGTGTTATTTATCAAATAAACTTATGTTTTTTTTTTTTTCTAAGTTATAATTAGTAGTGACGCGTAGTTAACCAATGAAGGGGCTTTTAACCACCTCAAAATTATTTCAAAATCTGAGAGTTTGGGTTTGCCACAGATTTTAATATGTTCTTATACTTTAATAAAAAAAAATTTATTAGGAAAAAAAAATTTCGTATGTTAAAAATTATAAAATTATGATAAATATTTTTATAATAAAAATTACAAAATTTTAACTATCACAAAAAGTAGTTTTAAAAAAACTTATTTAAAAGCTTTCAAAAGTATGAGATTAGGAATTATCTATCTTAACAGCTTTTAAATTATAACAGTCTATTTAAAAATTAAGATATATAGAAAACTTGAGAATAATTAGCCTAAAATTTGCATACAACGAAGTAAAATTAGGGGGAAAAAAAACAAAATATGTTGAGCAAGTGAAGTAATAATAAAGTTTGGTTAAAAATATTAATCTAAATTGTAGCTGTTTATTGTGGGAATTAAGGAAGATCTGAATGTACTATGGCCCACCAACTTACCTTACGTCGGGGAATCGTTGTATCTTGTGTCTGTCTTGCACCTCACTCACCACTCTCATTGGGTATAAAGACACCACCCTTCACTCCATCACCATTCACCACAACCCTCTATTCCATTACAACTCAACTTTGAATATATTCTTCCTTTTTCGTTCTCTTTCTTGCACACTTACAACAATGTCTTCTCAGGTCCTCAACTCTTCTTGGTTTTTGTTCTTCAGTTTTCTTGTGCATGATCATTCTGACTTCTGAGTCTGAGTCCCTTTTTCCATCTTAATTTTTTTTTATGTTTGTTCGCATGATCTGGTTCTTTGTTCTAGATGCTTGTGCTGAAGTTGTTAAGTTTCTCAGTTGAGATATTATTAGGATTTCCTGGGATTGGTTAGGAAGTAGGAAGAGTGGTTTTATTGCTGTACATGAGTAAAGCTGGAATCTTATGTTTGAAATATGATTTCCCATTAAATTTGATTCTGGAAAAAATAAGGGTTTCAAAGTTTTTTACTTTTGGGTTGGGATTCCAAAAATGAATTCAGTATTAGTCATTTTTTGGCTTTAGAAATTTGTGTTTGAAATAGCTTAGAACATTGACCGCAAGGATTCTTCTAAGGAGTCGCAGATCAGGACTTATTTTCAGCAACTCAAGTGCTTTCAGTTCCTTTATTCATGTGCATGTTATTTTTATTGATCATCGGTTACTCTATCATTTGTTGCAGGGCTTGTCCTGAAAGATTGTATCTAACATATCTGATATTCTTATCACTTTTTCATGCTTTTTCTTCCATATCATATGCTTTGATAAAAAAATGGGATTGATTGAAATTGAATTCAACATTATTTCTCGCAAACAAATTAATTAATAAAACTCCAAATCTAATAATAAGAAATTAACAATGGCTGGCCCTTGTTTGTTAAAAATCTCTGATTATGGTGTAGACAACCTGCCGCGTGATATTAAAAACTGGTTACTTTACACTTGTATTAAAAGCTGTGATATTTTTGACCGCTTAGTTTGTAGTAATGTCTTTAAATTGATACTTACACTCTTTGAATAATACTCCACATAGCTAGTTCCTATTGTTTATATCTGTACCTTCAAAATGAAATTTTATGTCAGATACACTAAGGTCACTAGAATCTCAATTTAACAGCATTAGTGAAATAGATCATTCTTTTCTGTGGCCACTGTGCCCTGCTTTGCTTTGCTCTCTTCCTCTCCATCTATCATTTCTTTCCCTTTTTAAATTGATTCTGGTTCCTATTAAATTTGAATTACGATTTTTTTTCTTCTTTTATATATCGGTGTTGTTGTGGTTAAGATAATTGATTATGCTTGTCTCTTCCCTTTCAATCTGAATTTTCTAATTATTGTTGCAGACTGTTGTCCTCAAAGTTGGAATGTCATGTCAAGGGTGTGCTGGAGCAGTGAATAGGGTTTTGGGAAAAATGGAAGGTAATTTTTTGCTAGAACAAACTATCTGTACTATCAGATTCAATATGAAAATGATTTAGCAGTTGTAGCAATGTAATTATATCATACATTTATAGTTTTTTATGGTAGTGCGTTTCTTTTGTGAATTTTATCAACAAAGATATGCAGTATACTTCACATTTTAATTAGCCGAAGTATTTGGTTTTGGATGTGTGTCAGCTCTTTCCTTAATTCTGAAGTTCTTCTCCATTCCTTTCTTTTCTAAAATACCTAAAATCTCTGTGTAATGGCATTTGTAAATTGTAATGTTAAACACCTGAAGTTCTTGTAAAATTTTTTTCTTTAAACCTCTTGTCGAGTTATTGTTTTCAGTTGGGCTGTGATCATATATTTATGTGGCTTTCCTGTTCACAGTAAACTCTTTCACATCACCAATAATATCCTGTATAGGTTAAGAGCCATTTTCAAGTCTGGGTTACTAATTAGAATGTATAAAATTTGATGAAGCTTCTACATTGAACCATTGAAAGCCTTTCTTAAGTATTCAACGATTCTATTTTATTCTATTTTTCTTGCCATGACTATACTCTGAAAATTGACATTGGAACTTCTTTCTTGGCCTTGTTCATGGAGCATTTCTTTCTATTATGCTTTGGTAGGATGCAATGTATAAAAACATATATATTTTTTGTGTCAACTACAAAGGCTGCCCTTCTTCTGTCAAGTATGTTGGTTATGTGGGGTCAAAATAGTTTCCTATATCCTCAAATGTTGTATCAATTTCCTCCGATTAGATAGAAAATTGGAAACAATAGCTCAAAGTATAATACAAGGAAAATCTTCAAGTTTCAAAAAGTTAATTTTCTTTTATGGTTTTGTTTTCCTTGGTAAAAGAATATGATTAAGAAGAAAACATGCAGTGCCAAATTTTAAGACGAATTGCAGGTTCTGCGATAAGGCCCTATACCCACTAATCTTCTTGTAATGTTGTTAATTTGTGTAGGTGTTGAGTCATTTGACATTGATGTGAAGGAGCAGAAGGTGACAATAAGAGGAAACATACAGCCAGAGGAAGTTTTGCAGGCCGTTTCCAAAACCGGGAAGAAGACTTCATTCTGGGTGGATGAAGCACCACCTGAAAACAAGCCTTCAGAAATTGCACCTCTTGCCTCAGCTGAGCCTGAAAACAAGCCTTCAGAAACTTCACCTATTACCTCAGCTGAGCCTGAAAACAAGCCTTCAGAAACTTCACCTGTTACCTCAGCTGAGCCTGAAAACAAGCCTTCAGAAACTTCACCTGTTGCCTCAGTTGAGTCTGATAACAAGCCTTCACAAACTTCTATTGACACTGTTGCCTAAGACATTGGTGGTTCCATTTCTATGTGGAAGTAGGTCTGTTTCAAATACTATTTTATGTACTTAATTTGTGCATGTCAGCTGATATCTGTAGTGTGTTATTACTGGTATCTAAGCTACAATAACTGAAGGCCTATTTTTCACATATATGATACATTTCAAGTGTGCTATAATTTAGAATTTGAACTTGATTATCCTTCCGTCCTACTACTGATTTTGTTCACTCTACTCTATATTCTGACTGCACTATCACCCTCTTGAGCATATTTTTAGCTTATTGGGACTTGTGAATTTCTTAGCAGCATTCAAGGAAGACAATTGATGAATAATTTTCTTTGTAATTGAGCCATATTAATATGGGTAAACATTGAAATTATTTATAGGGTGGTGAACCAAAATGAGTTTTACTTATGTGTACAAAGATATCTTTGGTTAGAGTATGAATGTAAATCTAAAACCAACCTTGGTTGAGAGTAATATCTCAGTTTTTTCAAAATGATTTGACAGTCAAAAAATTAAAAAAATTGAGTTGTTTCTAAAATAGCTGATAATTTGATCAAGTGCACAGAAAATTTTTAGAGACACGTCGTTGTTGAAGAAAGTGGATTGTATGATTTGTAATTTAATAAAAAAGGATAAAAAAGATCTAAAATAATTTATACAAAATTATTAAAAGTTATTTTGATTAATTAAATTTTTCGTTTTCTCTCTCTCTCTCTCTTTTAACTAATCGTTGATTCAATTGTGACAATGAAGAACTACAAACGAATGTGATACACAACTTAGACCAGGTTAGTTTGCGAAGGCGTATCTGAATTTGACAAATTTATTGATTTAATTACATAAATTAACCAGTGTTTGATTTCGTGTCGATACAAATGTAGGGATTTATAAAGTATGTAATATATATTATTAAATATTTATAATATATTAATGTTATTATTAAATAAATTTTATTATTCATTCAAATTTTATATTTAAATAAAAGGAAAAACTAAACTATTTATTTAATAATTGCAAAAAGTTATTTATTGAGATTTTTTTATTAATCTATTAATAAAATAATCCATTCTCTACTCATAAAGCAAATAACAATTTATCTTATTACATATTGAATAACATATTTGTTTAAAACATTATATATTTATAAAGTATAAATATATTATTCATAAAATATACAATACATGAATAAAATAAAATTAACACTCGAAAATATTTTTTAATAAATCTTTCAAGAGGTTGAATTTATAATTTACTAATATTGTTCATATAAAAGATGTAAGTATTGATGATAAAATGCAATATTACATTAAAAAATATTTAATATTATGTTTATTGAAACTTGTATGGATATTTCTAGAGCGGACAAAACAGACCTATCTAATGAATTAACTAAAATGTCATATCAAATGTATTAATTCATGTAAGTCGTTTGGTTTTTTATCAATTAAAAAATTATCATAAATGTTTTTATTATTTTGTTAAAAAGAGTTGAACAATCTATATCTGTATAATATATTAAACTTCTTTCACTTAGATTGTCATATAACATTTTTTAATTTTTTATTTAATACTTCATTTATTTGATCTGCATGTTGTTTTGTAGTCTCTTAAAATTTTTATGGTTATTTTTTATGTTTTTTTTTATTTAAATTACAATAAAACAATAGCAAGTAATATCTTTTTTTAAAAATATTATTATTTTACATTATATATTGATCCATATCTTAAATAGAGAAAAACAAAAGTGTAAATTAACATAATACCCATGCAATATTTTAATTTTAAACAGAAAATGTATATTGTTGTAAATTTGGGCTACCTGACTTGACTCGGTCGTGCCACATTTGGTAGCAAGCTGATGCTGGTCGGATTAAAAGTGGTCCAGTTAAATTGTAGCCCAAATTCGATTTTATATGTATTAAAGATAACAAAATTATAAAATTAGTTTTTTTTCCTCACTACTTGAATCTATTTTATAAATTGCCTAGAATTATAAAAAAAGAAAATTAAGTTACATCATTCATAATTTCATATATATTTAATTTCTAACGAAGAGTAAAGCTAAAAAGAAGATGAATATATATAAACAGCTTAAAATTATTCGTAAAATTACATGGTACTAAGTCAATATTAATAATCATTGGTTTAGAGTACAATATTTTAAAATTATTAGTACAACAACAATATGCAAGTGTTCATGGAGCCCTTCTAAATTTAGCATGGTTCATACCTAAATGTGAACTAAAAAGTCTGAATTTATGCTAGATGTCAAAGACCCCATTCAACTTGATGCCAAAAGTGATTTTATTTTGGGGTTTGAAAATGATAACGTTGAAAGGGGTGAGAAGAAGAACAAGCAATCTTCTAAAACAAACTTCAAAAATGCATTTGCAAATCGAGAAATAGTTCAGGAACATAGATAAATTTTTCATTCTCCCTTTCAATCACAAAAACATCTATTGATACATTGCAAAACCTGTAACCAATCTCAACTTGATTTTAGTTCTGTTAGAGCCATGCTACCCACCATGAGCTTCTGATTCTACTGCACATTTAATAGAGAGAAAATCTCACACTCTATATCTTTTTGTCCTGTCCTGTGCCTGAGGAAAAAATAAATAGGTTTTTACTTCACTCATTCTTTCAACTTTTCTTTGTTTTTCTTTTCCCTCAGAAATTTTGGGTTCGGAGATTGTGATTGTTAGTGCTTGAACCCACCGACCCATCGTCACCCACCGTGCATTATCACCGTCTTCCTCTTCCTCCAGCCAACCCAGCGCCAAGAAACTCTTCTACGACCAAGAAAACATTCTCGTCCATGGCTTCTCCACCATTCTCATTCCCCTCAACCTTAACTCCCTCATCAACAAGACACCTTCTTTCCCCGTTCTTCCCCGATGCGTCTCCAACCCCTACATTCCTCCTCCGCAGCCTCAACCGAGAGGTTCTAGTTTGCCGCTTCTGCCTTCAACCCTTCGGCGAAGCATTTTTAATCTCTCTCCTCCGTCAGATAAAGCTTTCTCTCGTTCTGCCACCTCTGAAGAAATTGCCTACCATTTTTCTCTGCATTTTGTTTTTGCCTCTCATATTCCCTCTTGGTAGCTTCTGGAATTTTCAGCTTGGGGCTAGTTGCACACATAAGGTGCTTTTTCAGACATAGAGATATCTACACATGACTTTAAATCTGAGGCTAAGTTTTGTAGCAATTTTGCTGGCCAAAGATTTTTTGTGGTTTATCTTCTTTAGTTACATGAAATGGGGCTCACAAACTATTTAGGTCACGTTCTTCTTTTTTAAGTTACTCTTATATTCATGAAGATTGACGGATGCAATGGTTTGCATCCATAGAACATTTGCCGTAAGATAGATAATAAATAAATGGAATATAATATCATTCCAATTGCTGTTACAAAAGTGATTAGTATTTTTGTAATTAAAAGATATTTTTGGTTGGTAATTATTCCAAAAAAAAACTATCAATTCTGCAACAAAATTGCTCATGCTCGGCAATGCAAGAGAAGCCATCAATAAAATAATGAAAATGGTGAATATTTTTGACATTGGGATAGCCATTCCGCCCATTTCGTCGAGATAAAGAAAACGTAGTCTATCATAACTAATTTCTGCCAAGGAAAAAAGTGCCAATAAATCCATGAGAGATCATTTGTAAAATAGCGCCATCGAGTCCCGTATCGCTTATAGAACTAATTCCTATAATTAAGAAACCCATATGAGATACTAAGGAATAAGCTATTCTTTTTTTTAAATTACGTTGACCAAGAGATGTTGAAGCTGCATAGATTATTTGAATTGAACCTAATAGCATTATTCAGGGGCAAAATATAGAATGAGCGTGGGATAATAATTCCATATTAATTTGAACCAATCCATATGCTCCTTTCCAACAGTATCATTGCTGTCTTTTTTGCAGCTTTTGTTGTTGCTGGAACTATATGGTATGGTTCAGCAACTACCCCATTGAATTATTTGGTCCCACTTGTTATCAATGGGATCAAGGATACTTCCAGCAAGAAATATATCAAAGAATTGGTGTTGGATTATTGCCGATGTAATCATAAAAAGCTACACACTCTTTCAAGGGTGGCTGCTTATTGGCAAACCTTCTGGCTGTCTATGCACCCCTACCTCCTTTATCACTGAGCGGTCATTTAGGAGCCTTAGCTGGTGATCTGGGCTGTTTCCCTCTCGACGATGAAGCTTATCCTCCATCGTCTCACTGGCCGACCTTGACCCTTGTTATTTTGAGGTCATATCTAGTATTCAGAGTTTGCCTCGATTTGGTACCGCTCTCACTGCCCACACCGAAACAGTACTTTACCCCTAGATGTCCGTCAACTGCTGTGCCTCAACGCATTTCGGGGAGAACCAGCTAGCTCTGGGTTCGAGTGGCTGTTATTTTGTCTTTTTAGCTTGATTTTTAGACTTCTTTCAAGTGATTAAGTGTTGAGATATCACTTCTATTTGGTAATTAAGTTTTGTTGTTTTTAGCTTATAACTTAAGTTGCATGGATACGGGGTACGGTACCAGGTACGAGTATGGGGATACGCTAATTTTTTTAAAACTAGTGTACGAGTACGTCTATATATAATATAATTAAATAACATAAAATTGTCTAACAATCCATTCAAAATGATATAACATAAAGTGAATTATATAATTCAACAAATAAGATTCCAATAAAAACACAAATTTATAAATTGTTCTACAATCAACAACAAAAAGGCTAAACATTCATACTCTAACAGTGTCAATCTCATCATTCCATTCTCCATCATCAGTAAAAAGCATTGGCTCCAAATCTGGTTCAGCAAGGGAAAGAGTAACAACTTCAAGAAAACCAGCCCCTGCAAATGGATCCCACTCATCACCACCAATATCCCACATTTTGGTCTCACCCTCATAATAATTTTTACTCTTTCTTGAGAGCAATCGAAGATTTATATGTATAAAAACTAAATCTTCAACTCTCTTAGGGTTGAGCCTATTTCTTTTCATGGAATGAATGAAAGAATATGTGCTCCAATTTCGCTCACAATAAGAAGAAGATGATGGTTGTGAAAGGACCTTTAAGGCAATGATTTGAAGTTTAGGAAGTGCAGCACCATACATGACCCACCATTCTTTTGGCTTCAAGTTCCACCTATCTTGTAAACAATCAAATTGACTAATCTCTTCTCCACCACTTGAAAATTTAACAAACTCCTGGGTTGCCTCTAATCTTTCCCTTGGATACAAAAAGTAGTTTCTCAAACATTTATTTCTCCCTATAAAAAACTCATTGTCCTTGTGTAGAGGTACTCGATTTGGTGCTTCATCAAGCCATTGCCTATAATAATACCTATCAATAACTTAAAGTTAGTTCACTATAACCCAACAAGTAAAATAAATTAAAACTTGTAAATTAATTAACTTTACCTAGAATTTCGTGAATGAGCTAAGCAATGAAGTGGTGTGTTACTTTTAGTCCACCTATCAATCAAAATGTTATACACCACTTCATAAAAGGATGAATGTTCATTTAACTCATTGCCCTCATATTGATATATTGCATATTTCACTTGCTCGATCATGGCATCCCATTTTTCATAAACC